ACTGCAAAGCCCTTTAGTCAACAGTGAGCCACAGAAATGTTTATACTGACTAGATAGGACTTTCTGAGAAGCTAGATTCTATAATGCAGCAGTTCTTCACAATTCCTCCTAGGTCTAGAGTTGCAAGAAGTCATCCAATCCTTTCTTCCTTCTTAAAGAAGGAAGGGTGTGCTGGTGATAGAACCACACGTAGGAAGGCAGGTTCACCTTAAGTTGTGCCAAATAGATGGGCAGAATACCTGGCGTTAATGAAGTAGCGAATTTTTCCTGCCTGGAATCCCGCTTTGTAATGCAGAACTCCGCAGAACTTCTGACCAGCTACAGTCAAGTAGGTCTCTGTAAGTCTGTCTGCTTTCTGCTGTTTGGGTCCATTCTTCAATTCTTTTATGAATGAGACTAAGAACCCACTAGGGGACCCTCTTCTCCCCGTTTCAGTACAGGCCCAAACTATGGACATATGGTGTCTTACTTTGATTAAGAGACAAAATGGCTTACAGTAACAGTATATGAAGGTGCTTTGCAGACAATGATAGACTGCACCATCCTTTGAAATATTCTGGAAAAAAAATTAATTTTGTATGCTTCGTATGTCATAATGCAGCATTATCAGCATCTCCCAAAACATAACCTCCCAAACACTGACACCAAGAGGGGGATCAAGCATTCAAATACATGTGCTTAAGCAGGCTTTTCTCATTCAAACCAACACAAAAAGGAAGTAGAGGCAAAAAGAACTTTTCTAACAAAACTCCCAATACTCTAAGTATTGGTGTTTATGGCAACCTTTTTAAAGCCTTTACTTTGCTTCTGTGTCCTCAGACCCTTGATATTTTTAACCTTCTCTTGATTCCTCTACCTTTGTGGATAGTTCATTCCAATATTAAATAGGTAATTGTATTTCTTGTCACCAGTGTCAGTGCTGCCTATGATGCCACTGTTTGCTCTTACATCTATACACACTTCCCATGCAACCTTATCTACATCTTCCACAATTAATTGTCAGTTCTGGACTAGGCCACTATTTGAATCCTAGTCCCTATTTCCAATAATGCAGATATAGCATAGCTGTCTTAAATTTGCTAAGCCAAAATTTTCATTTTCATTACCATCTGAACCCTCACTCCCAGGCCCTTTAAAAGCAGCCTCTTCCTGCTTTGCAAATGACCCTTCTATCTAGAAATTCAGGTCAAGCTCAGGAATGGTATTCTTCTGCTTCAGTCTCTCAGGTGTTGGGTTTACAGGCGTGAACTACTACAGCTGGCTTCTATAAAGGATGTTAGGTGAAACTATGCTGAATTGTTCAATGAAATCACACTCTTATTATGTACAAGTTCATCAAGTAACTCATCTACGTGCATTAGTTCAAACTCCCCATTTCAGTTCTGGCTCTTTATTTTTCCACAGTTATTGCACAAAGGTTCCAATTACTTATAATAATTAGTTCCAGTGAGACTCATGTAAAGTTATCCCAATGTGTGGACATACTTGACGTCTTCATTTTTTATGAACTCAAAAATGATATCTTTTCAGGTTGAATTTGAAGCATCGTCAAGGTTAAACACAGGAAAGGAGTTAGTTTTGTGTTTCCACTGTAAGCCACCCACAAACCTTCAGGCTATGGCTTTACCCACATGTTCAGCAGTAAGTCCAAAGCACCCTTCTTTCCAGTACTTGGGCTCATAGGTTCAGGTCCTGTTGATCACCTCCACCAGATAATGAGAATTGATGGCAAGGATGCTCTGTGCATCCTTCACAATACGTTTTGCCATTTTAGACCATTTCTATTTTCATCTGATCCTTTAATGAGTCACATCCATTTTTAAAAAAACATCCAAAGGGCTGGAAATAGTAAGATGGAGGAAGTCCCTACACACAGCTTAAGGCTTGGAACTAGAAACTGAGGGGTAGGGCACGTCTAGTAACTGCATGTGGGAAGACATCATTGATACCAGCAGCAGCTGGCAGAACTACTGGTACTTGTGGGTGGGCAAGTTGGTGACTGTAAGCCACAACTACGACTGCTTGAGGGCGAAGCTGTAGCAAGTGGCTCTAAATTTTCTTTTCTCTGAGAGCACCACTGCAGCCCCTGAATCTGCTGGGGTCAAGGCAGTGGGAAGGAGATGGTGTGCCATTAGCCCAGGCAAGCTTCGGGGCTGTGTCCCGGAGACACAGCTGGAGACAAATCTTGGAGTTAAGGACCTTCTACATGGACTTACTCAGCATCCGTGCAACAAGAGCCTGTTAAAGTGCAGAGCACTGCTCCAGTCAGGTTAGGGGAGATCCTCTTTGCCTCCTCATGGCTCCTAAAAGACCATCTGTCCTCTTTAGAACTCACATAAACTGGAAAATCATGACTAAAATTAGGATTGAATGTAAATATGAATATAAATGTTTAATGGAGAAGGGAAATAATCTGAAGGTATATAATTCCATATTTGGATAGTTTTTATATTCAAGTGTCCTAGAAGTCTTAAAGAAAAAAAATGAGAAGGAAAATCCAAATTCTTACCTAAGAACTTAGAGGAAATGTGGGAAATTTCCTGTGTTCTCGGGTTTTCATGATAAAATCGTTCTTCATACGGAAGATTTATTCTTGTGTTATCTCAGGGAGGCTCCCCTTGAGCTGCAGATAACCACTTAGGAGCATCCAGCCACTCAGCTTTTATAATCAAACTGTAAATCTCACTGAATCAGGATGTCTGGGCATGGATTGCTTGATTAATATAGTCTGGCTCTTGAGAGCTTACGTGCTTGTATGAAATAGCAATTAGCAATTTCCAAGGATGCAGAGAAATAAAACATACTTAACCTCACTTCCTTTAAATTCAGTAGGGAATGAGAGAAGGTAACATAAAATAACATGACACAAAAATATACATATTTTAAATTCTGTATTCTTTTCAAGTTCTGGCAGCACTCACAAATATCATTAATGCATCTCAGTTACTATTGTGAGGACAGATAAGTCGGGATGAGTTGATGAAATGGAAAGCTGTATTTTACACATTACAAAAAACTAGTGATCACACATTTCCCCTATAAATTTTCTTTTCTACAAGATAATGTAGAACATGAAATTAAGTAGTCTGAGGTCTCAGAACTTTCAAATTTCTGCATCAGATGACATCGTCTCTATAAATGAAAGTCTAGGTCTTTGTTTTTATGTTGTTTTAAATAATTTCAGTTATGAACAACATTAATTTCTGCCTCCTTTTTTTGGTTAAATGGATCAAGTGTCTGCTATGAAGCAATTGAGTTTTCCCATGGATTCTATTCTATCACCGAGCATTTTGCTTCATGCACAGTGACTTGGGTTGCTGGCTGAAGAGCTGCGGTAGTGCTGTCAGGGAAGACGAAACACCATGTAAGAGGGCAGGGTGCAAAGCAGCTACACATTTCTTCAAATAGACTTTTCTTTTTTTCCATTTCAGGTAAGCATCTTGGGGGTTATGATTCTGAATCCTCTTGAAGCTTCGGGACTCTGTTCATTCAGTTGACCAAATGGAAGAAGTCTGTAGCATCAATAGACAGTCATCAGCCAGCCTTAAATACACAGATACTGATCATTGTAAGTGTCTCTTTTATGTAAGAGCTTCATATGGATCATGAAACGTGTCAGGAATTGATTTTGTATAGGACTTATAATGAATAACAAAACAACTCCTAATTTTGCTGGAGTTCTATGCTCAGTTTATTTTTGCATGGTTCACTGGGATTCCTATTCTGAAATGAATTTTAAAGCCCGAGTCAATTGTAAGAAAATTCATTCCATTTAGCTAGTTGCAAGTGCTCACCAAAGTAATGCACCTTTGCAATAAATATTGGCCCAGAGGCAGAAAATACATGGATGATGATAAATTTAATGGAATTTATTGTTTTGAGAAATTTGTATTACTATATTAAACTTCACTTTTATTTTAAGGCTTATTTAATATGTCATTATATTAGGCAAACTTTATTTTACCTTTGGTAATTTTACTTAACATTGTAAATGTAATTAATGCTGGCTCTAATTCAATTGCTATTAAAAAAGCTCAATATAGCACTACACACACACAGACACACACACCTTTACTTCCTTCAGGTTAATTCTAATAGATCCTTGAAAACATACAATCTACTGAGGTAATAAACCTGTTGATATTTTCCCCCTTTTTTGAACAACCATTTAAAGAGCTTAGGGCCTGTCAGCAGATTGAGGAATACTTAATTCTGCATTTAACATCTTCTATGGTTTGAATGTGGCTGTGACCCCAGCATTTCATATGGTAGAGGCTTGGTCTGTGGTGGTGGGGCTCAGTTGGAGGTTCTCAAGTCACTGGGGAGTATACTCTCAGAAGGGCATGGCCACCCTGGTTTCCTGTTTGGAGGTGTGATCTCTTCCTTTTGCAGTCCTGCCATTGCTATCCACTCTGAGGGGGGAACAGCTAAGATGGGGTGTTCTGGCTGTAGCCACTGTTGTTCTCTTTACTGTACCCTAAATTCAAACCTCTTCTTATAGTTAGCTTGCCTTATCATAGTGTGAGAAACACACGAATAACATCCCTATTGACAAAAGCCATCTACTCAATGTTCTCCACAGAGCATAGCTAATGCAATGTATCAGAAATACCCAATCTTTTGTAATCTTCTGTGTTACATGTATATAAGTTTGGCTTCTGTTTACAGTAAAGAAGACAATTTTATTGTGACAGGACTAAGTCACTTGAAGCAGAGGGACATAAGGGCCAGTTTAAGTTTAGACAACATGGCAGTGAAATGGCTATCTGGTCTGAGTTAAAACGTGGCTGACACTGGATATCCAAGGGTCTGTGAGTCAGCACAAAGTGGCTGACACCAGATATGCTGGATAGTTTCAGTTGTCAACTTGACACAACTGAGAGGAGGGAACTTCAATTGGGGAATTTCCTCTATTGGGTTGGCCTGTGGCCATGCCTGTGAATCATTGTTTTAATGGCTGAGTGATGTGGAAGGGCCCATCACACTATGGGCAGTGCCATTTCTGGGCTGGGGTCCTGGGTTGTTTAAAAGCAGTCTGAGCACAGACCAGGGAAGCAAGCCAGTAAGCAGTGCTCCTCCACTGTCTGTGCCTTGACTTCCTGCCCTGACTTCCCTCAGTGCTGGACTGTCTCTTGGAAGAGTAAGAAGCAATAATCCCTTACCTTCCCAAGTTGGCTTTGGTCAGAGTGTTTTACCACAGCGATGGAGACATAACTAGAACACTAGATGTCGAGGGAGCCTTAAAAGTAAACAGTGATGTAATCTGTTACAGAACTGTTTTTGGCAGAGTGCCACTTTTATGTGATTCTGTGTAAATATGGCCTTGAAGTTAGAGGCCTCAGTCTTTGCCAGCTTGCTTGAGAGTCTGTAGGCCTATATGCCTACCTTTGTGCGACCTGTGTGCCTGTCAGTGTGGTGCCTGTGCCTGCCTGTATGCTGTCCATTCTGTCCTGTATGCTGTCCATGTCCTGTGTGGTGTCCATGTGTGCCAGGTGTGTGCCTGGGTGCCAAATGGTGGCTGCTGGTCTAGAGGCCCATATGCTGGTAAATAATGTATATTGTATCTGCCCATGGCTCCTCACAATCTCTTCAACCTCGTGGCCTCCCACAGCTCTTTCTCCCTTCCTGGCACTGGAGCTTGGACCTCACAGTCACACATCTAACTCAACTAGAACCAGTGGGGTGTTTAAGATTTCTGACTCAGTACGTAAATCAATAGTCTACTGCATGCGGTAAAGAGTTTTCCATTTGTAATTTCAAGCAGAGCCAAATTGCTACTATAGGAAAGAGTACATCAAATAACCTCACATTTATTCTCCAACTCTACTTGCTTCTTTGAAAGACACTCATACACACTGAACCTGACCTAGCCACAGTTTTCTGAAACCTAAAAAATTTTTTTTTACTAGTCTTGAAGATACAGATCAGCCCAAGTTCTGAAAACAAACTTTTTATTTTCTCTTCTAAGATGACATAGCAGTTATTCTGTTCATTAATGCCAGCATAATTCTCTTAAATGCTGTTGTTGTTCAAGTAAAAACATGTATATGGATGCTATATGTGGTCTTTTTTGTAACTCCTCCTTTAGTTTCCTTTCTTACCCACCCCACAACTTATCTAAAATGATTTGAGCTTTTGCAGCTTACTGATTATTGAAGAACCTCGTGCTCAGCATGCCCTTGGATTTGGCCTGGGTTTGGTGTTGTCTAGGTGGTTCAAGGCATTTCTGCCACCAATATCTTCTTCCTGTGTCATGTGAATTTCCAGGTCCCAAAGGGATTCCAAAAAAGATTCTCTGCTAGATACTATGGGCTAAAATTTATTTGCTATAAACTGCTCTAAAATTTGTCAGGACAGAGTTGAGAACTCTGCATTAGGATAAAAATTAATTCAGTTTTCTTTTTTTCCTCAGAAATACTGAAGATACAAACAATGGGGTAAGAATCAGGCACAGATTACATGTCACTGAAAGGAGCAAATCAGGCCAAATTAAGTGACCTTCAGGTGGGACATGATACACATTCCACACACCTGTGTGAACCCTTTATTAAAGCAACAATCAAAATACAGGATGGATCACATGTTGTTGTGTTTTTACTACAGTAATATCAACTTATATCTTAGTCATTTGTTTACAATTCCAAATTATTTCTTATTTCTGCCCAAGTACATTTTTTCATCGTATTTTCCAATTTGCCATATTTACTCAGAACTAGTGAAATACAATAACCCAAAAAAATCAGTACAAACATTCTTTGACCCTAACTTACCATTTGTGGTTCTATAGTATTAGAAAGATGCATTTGGAGTCTTCTATAATTGGTTACATAATAAATAAAATTAATTTATGCAAGTGTTTTCTTGGAATGACTTACTTTCTAGTTTTACACTCTGTAGCTTTAATTCGGATAGTAGTATTCTTGGTATTTGCACCTTTACAATCTCCATTTCTAAAAAAAAGTCAATTAAAGAGTATCTTTCTCCTCAGATGATATTTTCCTGTATAACAAGCACTCAGTCTTTTGGAAAATATAGTAAGTAATTCTATTCTATTTGATTTTCCCTCCACAACGGATTTGTTTCATCCAAACCTGTTACTCACTGAAGAAATAATTCAAAAAGCTCATTAAGAAAATGAACTTTTTATCTACTTGAAAGCTTTTTCAATGAGTAGGTAAATGTAAAATTGATTTATTAAAGATAACAAATACTCAAAAATATGTATGTGAATATACAAGGAAGTTTGGCAGATATTTAAAGAGGACCCAGTTAGTTAAAGAAGCAACAATAGAAACAGAAACTACTGTGTTTGAGGATTGTCAAAAGGAAATGCTAAGACAGAGGACACCAGTTGAGTTGTGCTGAGAAAAGAGAGTGAAATATACTCTACTGCTCCATTTCTTACCAAATGAATACATGAAAGGACATTCCCAGTTAATAGAACCATAGGGAATGCCATTTAGAAAATGTAGCACAGAAATGCAACATCCTATTTCGAATTATATAATCAAAAATAACTGATTTGTTTTTCTAAAATATTTCTTCCAGTACCAGGTTGGTGTTCCCATAAGTCAGGCTGATTTGTGTTGGCTGCACTAAATGTCCAGTTGCCTATTCAAAACATGCGAGCGTTCTTTGCGCTCTATGCTTTCTACATGTGCTATAGAGCTGAGCAGATGCTAGGCCTCCAGTGAAGAACCACCCAAGCATGGGATTCAAACCATAGTCTCAGTCTACTGATGTGACTTGTAGCCATAGCTAGATTCATTCAAGTTGCTTTCTTGTTATCTCCCATTTCCTCTTCAGAAGGACATGTACAATCAAAAAGAAAGAAACAAAACAGATAAAGGGAAGGGGATTCCAAATCCACTGTGTGGGTGTTAACCCTTTCAATATTTGCTGTGGAAAAGGAATGAATGTTCATGAGCACCCCAGACATTCCAGACGTAATGACATGACACAATAATGCTTGCTGTGACATTCAGATATTTCTAGAGCAATTTATATACATTATATATCACATAGATCACATTTGGTTCCTAGAGAGTTTAGTCAAGTATTAGTATTTTTTTGCCAACTGTGATGTACAAAAAGATGAGACCAGCAGATGTGCCCTAAAGATATGAAAATATAAATATATAAAACAAACCATTATAAATTACATAGATATTTCCCATATAAAATTCTGGGTATTTTCCCATTTAGAATAAATACCATCTAAATTTATAGATCATCTAAGTGAATTGAAAATGCCTATGTATGTGAATCATTTTCAGAATTTCAAGAAAAAAGTTGCTAGAGGTGTGACCAGGATGACTCAGAAACCAGAAATTGTTTGACTTTAAGAATGACTACAGAAGGCCCAGAAGACATACATAACTTGGGATTTGGTGTTGAACTTTCAAATTGCCCAAATGAGTTCTCTGTGCACCAGTGTGTGTGCATGCACATCCAACCACACTGATGAAAGATTCTAAGAAGCGGAATTCCTCATTTCTTTAAACCATCATCTCAGAGCTTGAAGTCTTCCACATTTCATATTCTGGAAGGAGGCCTCTCTCAAGGCAAGGTGCTATAAGAGGCACAGGAAGAGCATAGAATTCTGGAGGGAGAAATTCCATTATAAGTCAAGCAACCTTAAGGTTGGCTGTTATAGAAAAACACTTCCATGCCTTAAAAAGGAAGTTTTGAAAATCTATGTAATTCCCACCCCATTTAAGTTTAAAGACTCAAAACCAATATGGAAACATTCTTTGGTCACATATTTCAGCTCTTGCTTCATAGAAAATCTGCCCCATTTTAGCTAATTATCCTTAATTAGTATCTATACAGAATGGATACCTTCCCTATAGTTTCATGGGGAAATATGTACATGAGTCTGGATGGAATGAGTACTGAATAGAATAGGGAAATGTTTACATCATCACAAACCATTAACCAGTCTAACTTTGTTGTTACTCTGGGTGCATAAGTTAAAGTTAAGAATTTATTAACCTCCGTGACAATCACAAAACTTGTAAGTTCTAAGAGCTGGAGTTAAAACTTTTCTGCAATGTGAATGCATAAAATCCCTATCCACAGAGCCCCAACAGAAGTCATAGCTTCTCATGACTGCAAGCTATGATCTGTTAGGTGACCCCTAAGACATTTCCAACTAGGTGCTCATAAGGAATTCCTCTTAAATGGAGGTTTGATTGAACACCATGTGTTATTAAATTCCCTTCCATATGAGTAGTCTATAAGCCCATCATGACCACTTCTGGAGCCAAGCCCACTACACTGTTACAGAGCCAGATATTTTTGATGTAAAGTTTGTATGGATCATGCCTCATATACTCAGTTTTACTCTTCATTTGACTTGAGGGTTGTCATGGTTTGAAGACTTTCTATGAAACTCTAAGTGAGCTTAAAAGGACCATATGAACTACTGAGCATTACCTGAATATTCTATAGGTGAAAAGATTAAAACCCCAGCAAGAAAGGAGTTGTCTAAGGTCAATTTCTCAGATGGGGATAGAGTGATATGTGGACATCTGGGTCTCTTCTTTGATAACCAATGTAGCCCATGTAACCTCTGATGTCACAACCCCATCACACTCAGCATAGCTGATGTTGCCTCAACTCTTAGGACTATTTTAAGGTTATTCTTTCTTGCTTTCATATGAAAGTAAAATAATAGTACTCATTCTTATCAATATTAAATAAAAAATTTAGAAGTCCTAATTATTTTTGGAGGGGGAAAATTCCAACATTTGTTGGAAATGCTATGATCTTTTTTGCTTAAGTAATGGTGATATGGCATGAAAATGTGTGTGGAACCCAGAGATGAAAACAAAGAATCTTCAGAACAATTGTTTAAAAAGCAAAAAATAAAAGTTAATATTAGTTTGTTTCTCTGAAAGAGTGATACCATTGGAAAAAAATGGCACACAGAGCTCACTCCAGTTTGCCATCTCTTAAAGACAGGGAAACTGAGGCCCAGGTTTGCCAAAAGCCTGGGAGCTGGTACTGGCACAGTCAAGTATTAAACCTTTGATGGCTGGTTTTGTCTTTGCTTTCTAATGTCATACTGCCTTCTACATACAGTATATCTGTGGGACTAATAATTAAATCATTTTGGCATAAAATCTTCTATGTCATTTCCCTCATCTTACATGCTACCTTTCAATGACCAACAAGTCAGCTATTCAGTAGACAAGGAGACTTGGTTATGCTCTAGTTGCTGCCCTAAAGCAACTATAAAGCTGACTTGGGTTCCTTCTGGGAACCTGGCATTCTGAAACTACAGGAATTCACTAAACACTTCTATCTTTGGAGGCAATAAATCTTCGAGGTAAAGAACCAATCTTTGTTTGGAGGATGGTGTTACCTACATGTAAACCATTTTCATGAGTGGTGTGGGTATATTTTACCGTTTGCAATCTTGCTCCCTACCTCAGATGGGTTCACCAAATGCTCTTAGAACTGGACAGGTAGACACGTTTTTATTTGACTACTAAAGTGCTATTCTGGGGCAAAGTTTTTCTCAGTTTCACAATAGCAGCTTCATTGGAAAAAATGTATGAAAATAGGCTTGGGGCATTTTTGAAAAAGGATAAAGAAAAAAAGAGCTTAGTAACTACTTTGGAACATTATAAATGACTTGTAGATACCAGCTATGGAACTGGCGATTGACACCCAAGACTCTGAGGTAAGCATACTAGGGAAAATAAGGACAAAAGTGACACCGAAGACTAAGGCAGAATGAGCAACTAATATTAACGTAATAACTACTCCATTATAAAGGAACCGTGGAGATGATGAAAACTGAGAGGAAAGTGCAACAAACCCATGTATGAGCATTGCTATTGTAAGCAGACCTATAATTTTTAAAAGGAAAAGCGATGCAGTATGCCTTAAACGGGGCTCCTGAACTCAATCTTACAATAATGTACTCTTTGCCAAAAGGACTTCTCTAATTAAGGGATTTGGCAGAGAATGGCCTCTAAAATTCCGATCACATGGACAGACAGCTCTGCCCCATCTTATCAGTTCTATATCCCAGTGTTCTTGCATCCGCATTCTTTTCTACTGGGGTGATTCCAGTCACATGACCTGCACACAGGTGTTTCCCCCTCTTCACATGGCATCACTCCTACCTAAGGGATGAGAGTCTCCTGGTAAGGCTTAGCGGCAAGTGCATACTACATCTGTATTACAAGGAGCAGCCCCTGATTTTCTTGATATGCATAGCTTCTCGTGAGTTAATATTAGACATGGCTTTCATAAATAATGCAGGTGTTTTTGTCACATGTCACTGCTGGCTCTGTTGTCTCCAGGTGTGCTGGCGGCAAGCCTTGTTCTGGTGCCTCCAGAGGTGAAACCTCTTCAGATGTCAGCTCTGTGGATGTTATGTCTGTAGAAGGCTCTGCAGTTTCTGGGGAATGTTCCGCTGATGGTTCTGTCTCCTCTTCATCTTTAACTTCTAACTGTCTACTCTCTTGGTCATCAACGTGATCCTTTTTGGACTGGGGGTGAACTGACACCTTGATGGCAATATGCTGAGGCTGTTCATGCAATGACGAGGCATCTGAGTCATTGGTGGGAGAGTCACTTCGCTTTAGAGAGTTGGGGATTGTGTATACCTCATCCCTGTCTGTGGCCTCCTGGCCTTCTGGGGTATGCCTCACAAAGTTCTGCCCCTGCTCCTCCAGCCCAACCACTTCCATAATCTCCTCCATGATCGTCCGGCAGTTCATGATGAGTGGAGGCAGAGGCACACTTCTGGCAAGCTCTTCGATGTACCGAGCAAATTCCATGGTTTTGAACTGGGTCACTTTGGCAAGCTCTAGAGTTTTGGCTGAGGTGATAATGGGGATGCGCTTAGCAATCTCAAATGCCTTTTGCAGCTTCTCTGCACCTTCTGTCCTAAAGAACTCATTGATGGCTTTCTCAGTCTTCTTCAGGTGGCTGCTCATCATACACAGGCGGGTAATGTTGAGGATCATGACAATGGTGAAGGCCACGAGGCATACAACCATGTAGTAGACGCCCATGTCTCCAGAGGTAAAGATGACTCTCAGGGTCACTGTGTTGTTCACAGTACCATAGATGTTAGAAGCCACACATGTGTATTTACCTCGGTCTGAGAAAGACACCTTAGTGATGTTCAGGAGGCCACTGTCCAGCATTTGCCATTTTCCTGTCAGAAGGGAAAATAGAGAATTCAACCAAGAACTATGACAAGACCCATGCAAACTCAAGCAGACAAAACCCCAGCACGGAACTGGGAAAATGGACAGCAGGACCCAATCTTAGCCGAAGAACTATTGGCAGCTGATTACTGCTTGAAAGGGAGAAAGAGCTGATCTTCTTTAAGGGAGGAACTCAAGATAGGCTGACTAGATTCCAGTGAATGAACTTGCAATGAGGGATGTCTGGGTATATTAACTTGACTTGATAGGCCTTAACATAAATGCGTGAAATCCAGTGTGGGGGGCCAGGGTGGGTATGGGAGGTTGTGGATGGGGGAAGAGGGTATGGAGATGATTACGATATTTTATATGAAATACACAAAAATTAAATAAAATATACAAAGAATAAGAACTTTGATCCCCATTGTCAAAGCTAAAATATCCATAGCTACTAACAAGAGCAGTGATCATGTACCAGATGTGCCATGTGCCAGTGACATGCATAATTCATTCTGTCTGGAACCTTCTGTGAGGAAGCACTGATACTGGGCCTACTTTATAGGTGAGGAAGCAGGGGCAAAGTTGAACAACTTTACTTAAAAGTAGAGATTTGCACTTGAAAAGCAGTATTCTTTTTTCTTTTTCTTTCTTCTTACGTCTTATGGTGACAGGGTTCAAACTTAGAGTCTCACAGATGCTAGACAAAATGCTCTACCACTGAGCTGCATCCCCATCTCCTCTACTCCATCTCCCTTCTAACTTCAAGTGTTCCTTCTTAAATTATTAATAACTCCTGAGTCCAGTAAGTGTTGCTCATATCTGTATGAGTTTGAGACTATTCACCAGGGTATGGACAATCCATCAAAGGTCACATCCCCAAAGGAGAGTGACTCTGCCTCAGCAGACAAGTTATATTCTACACACACATATATATATTTTAAAAAATATTTATTTATTTATTTATTTATTTATTTATTTATTTATTTATTTATTTTTGAGACAGGGTCTCATGATGTAGCTCTGGCTGGCCTGGGACTCACTATGTAGACCAGGCTGGCTTGAACTCAGTGATCTGGCCTCTTTTACCTCCTGAGCACTAGGATTAAAGATGTGCACTGTGCTTACTTAGCAGGGTTATATTCATAACCACCGAACTCTGGTGTGGAATTCCATAGTCTAGTGCAAAATGAGGGAAATAATCAGAAAATAAACTGGAAAACTCAGCACTTTTAATAAAGAACTCCTGAAATGTTACCGTCTGACTTTCTAGCTTGTCTGTAGCATAATTCCACCGAATGCACATTCGCTGGGCAGTTTAAGGCCTCTTGGAATGGAAAGCATTTTTAGGTTCAACGTAAACTGCAGAACAAATCAATTTATTCTTAACTATTTACCTAGGCTTCCCATATTTGTGACTGATGTTATTATTCTATGGTGACCTCAGTTAATTAGACATAATTTGTGTCATTAATTTTGAGAATCCACAATGAATTACCTACAGGGTTTAAAGCTATAAGCTGACAAGGCAAAGATTCAGAGGCTAAGTATGAATTAATATCAGTTTGCTTCAGTCTTGCAAATAAATTAGGCCCATCAGGATGACAATAAGCCTGGCAAGAAGGAGAACACACTTTGGTAAATGTGATCTTATATTTCCCTGGGAATGAGGTTCTGAATGTGAAACTCTACATTAATTCTGAGCCAGTCTCCCTGCAGTTCTAAAGACCTCTGGGAAACAGGATACTAGGTTTGGTTTTAAGGTGTTGGATGTGAGTCAGAAATGAAATTCTACTGCCCCTCCTCCCCAGATTTTCCCCCACAGAGTAAGGAAGCTTCAAGCCAGTTCTCTTGGGAGGCTTAAGGAGCAGGCAGATATTCTCCATAAAAGCTCTCTTGTCCCAGGAGACAAGAAAGGAACCTCTCCCCAGTGTAATTTAACACCGTTTTAAGTGTCTATTACTGCATTGTGTTTGACTAGTTTCTTCTCATCATAGTAGTGACTTTTACTTATAACTAAAATCCTGATGAGGGTGGGGGATAGAATTCAATGGCAGAGTGCTTGCCTACTCCCAGCACCAGCAAGCTTGAGAGTTCCAAATGACCAGGGTCTCAACGGACAACAGAATAAGGTACCTTGTAAGCTACAGGGCATTTTTAAAGAGGGTAGACTGGGCAATGCAACACCTTTCTTGGAGCTACAGTGTCTTCCACTTGCTAGTTGTGTCAGGAGGCTCCCCCAGAGATATTACCACATTACTTTGTGGAGAGTGGTTCCTGGTGTCCCAGAGTAACCCTTTCCTAACAATTCAGCTGGTATGCTTCCTCTAAGAGTAGAAGATGCTGATTTAGAAGGTCTGGTGATTTCAGTATCTTGTGGATGTGTCGGAACAGGCAAACCTAGCATGTGGCCTGTGATAATCTCATTCTGATGAGGCACAGACACTGCTCCCATTCCCTGAGCATGAATTTTAATTGCTCTGCTGCAGATTTAGCTGAATATACAATGACTTGAGACCAGGGAAATTGCTTTACCAATTTATATTCTTAGAATGTGCACGTTTCATAGACCTCAGCAGGCATGGGAAAAAATATACTAGTTAATGGAAAAGTCACTCACTCTACATGGAAGGTGTTGGGTTCCAGAGACTTCTAGACTAGGCTTGCAGAACTCTCTCATATTTACCTTCCTTCTTTTGTTGGTAAACACAGCAGGAAGTAGAATGGAGGAGAGAAAGGGGTGGGATCAGTTGATCTCTAACCCACTGCCTTTCTCCATCCCTTCCTTAGAGAAATTATTTCTAAAACATGAGGATAGAACAATGTGCACTTGGGCATAGAAGAAAAGCAGAAGAGAATATTAAACTAAGGAGAGAAGCATGTGACAGAGATATCAAGAGCTTTCTCACACCTGAATAAAAGTTTTAGTGGTAATTCTATCCACTTGCCATAGAAAAGGAAAATGCAAAAATATGTAATAGCTATGAGGGATGGATGCTTTCCTTTAGTGAATATCTAAAACTATTCTGAATTTGACCTTTATACTTATTTCTAGAAATGCTTTTAACTTTCTATTGACATGTATTTATCTAACCTGGAACCAAGCATTAAATTCAGATAACATGTACACTTCAAAAGTTTATGTTGTTAAAAAGAACGTAATTTCTTGTCAGACACAACCTGATTAGTTGATATCTGTGGTTCATTCTGAAAAATTGTGATAAGTTTAGCAGATGAATGATTACCTAGGAATATATTATAATTCTTATCTCAGAACTATGGCTCCTAAAATCTTATATACTTTATCTAACACTTAAAAATCTCATTTGCGAGCCAGGTGTGGTGGTGCATGCCTTTAGTCCCAGCACTTGGGAGGAAGAGGCAGGTGGATTTCTGTGAGTTCAAGGCCAACCTGGTCTATATAGCGAGTTCCAGACCAGCTGGGGCCACAGGGAGACAGTGTCTCAAAAAGACCAAAACAAAACCCCCAAAACCCTCATTTGCTCTTTTAAAAAAGACTGTATACTTCTTATTTTTGTTATTTTTGAGACAAGAGTCTATCTGTAGCTCCAACTTGCCTGGAATTCACTATGTAGACCAGGTTGCCCTCAATCTCACAGAGATCTGCTTGCTTCTGCCTCCCGATTTTTGGGATTAAAGGTATGCACCACCATGCCTGGCTAATTTTTTTAATTCACATGTATATGTATAAGCATGCATGAGTTTATGTCTACGACATGTGCAAGAGGCCTTGGAGGCCAGAAGAGGGCATTGGATCCCCTGAAACTGGAGGTATGGGCAGTGGTGAGCCACCACGTGGGTGCTAGGATCTGAACCTGGGAATGCTCCTCACTGCTAAGCCATCTTTGTGTTCTTAGTTTGAAGTCCAGTCAAGCATGTGTGAAGTATTTTGACCTAATTAGAAGCCCTAACAAATATGACTACAGATATTGTGATCTCCAAACAGCCTCTTACCAACACTTTAAATGATAGACCACAGCCCTCTATGAGCAATTTCCTGTTACTCTCTAGGAAGACACAGATATCTCTTTAATTTTCAGTCTTTTACTAGGCTCCTCTTGAAACCATCATGTTTGTTTTATGGATTCAGGTGACACTAAACTATTAACTAAGATTGTGTCACGTGGCAAAATGAATTAACACTGTAGTACCAGACCACAAAGCAAGTTGATATCCTAGAACTCAGTAAACACACACACACACACAGACACACAAACACACACACACACACAGATAGGCACAGACACACAAACACACACACACAGCTGACAGAGACACACACATTCAATGACTATGTCAGAAGAACTAAAGTCCTGACATGATCTCAAAGGTCAGGTAAGTAACCTAAGTCTGTACCTCTCTGCTTCTTTCTCTTGGCTGATACGTTCTTTCTTTTCTGGACACCAAGGCCCCAAATGCTTCCTCATAGCCTCAACTTCCCTTTTGTTAGTGAATAAGAGATTTGTGCATGCTCTGCTACAAACAGGGTCTTGAAAAACCAGGAAGATGACACAAATTATGCTTTGGAGTCTTCTCACATCAGGTTGGGTCAGGCTCAAGCAGAGTCTCCACAGGGTAGCTGCCCAGCTAGGACCATGTGGAGCACATTCTTTGTGTTGTAAGGTTCTATCTACCTCAGTCTGTGAGAACTCTTCCCTGAGACCATTCTGGAAGGGCCCCAATGTTGGCTTCCAGAAAGTGAAAGATATAAAAAAACCCACCTGCAGTGATTGTCATAGGAAATCTTTGGTGCTATACACTCAAAGCAGGTACACACCGTGCTGCTGCTGCTGCTGAGTGGTTTAAACTGCTGGGTGGGAATACAAGAGTCATGTACTGAATTTTCACGATGCTATGATCTTCAGTGCAAATAAAAACCTGAAGTGTCAGCAGCTGATGCCAAGATGGTTCTACACGAAATGCTTTTGGAGGCTATAAAAGAGGCAGTTAACCATGACCTCCCGAAAACAACACAAGAGATCGTGTGTCA